AGTTGGAGATGCCCTTGCAAAGGAAGGGAGTGTATAGTCTTAGGGGTCTCATGGTCTGGCGGGTGAGGACAGCACGCTCATATGTGCAATATACTGCTGTGAGGAAGAGTCCAGTGTTAATAAACTTTATAATGGAGGAACGATGGGGAGATCCATTCTCTCTTAAATCCATTCTCCATTTCTGAAGCTGATTTGCACAAATGCCACTGATGGGATCCTTTTTCTAACTGCTTCAAATTGGTCCAGTTAATGGGAACCATAAAAAGTGTCTAGAGGAAGGTCAGAGAGTACAAATCATCCATCTCACCATTGTCAATAAACAAACTGGTGCAAACTGGCCCAAATTCCATGGGCCCACAGTTACAAAGCAATGCTATTAATCAATGCATTTCTCAACTTGACTATGGGCTGGTGTTATACAGTTACTTTGTCAAAATAGTTTGAGCCAATCCCAAGTTTCTGGAATTAACTCACAGAATGAAGTTAGAGTGTTTATCCTCTAATCAGTTCACTACCCAGTCACTTTTGGCTGGTTGAGTCCTTTGAATGCAATTCCTCCAAGGAATTTTAGTAGAGCGGCTGTATTTACTCTACCCCTGGCTTCTGGCAACTTCTCTCTTCACTCAGACTTTGGTCCTACAGATGATAAATTTCTGCTGCTACCAAGGCCCAGGCTATCATCCTATTCCATCAGTACTCTCTATTGTCAGCTTCCTACAAAGCCCTCTCAGAGAGTAACTTTCTTTGAGTCTGTTTTCCGTCTGTGATCTGTTTCTTGTTTGGACCCAGACTGATTAAAAGAGGAGTAATTGGTCAATTCCAAAACAGGAAAAAAGCTTTACAAAGGTTGCATCCTAAAGTAAGGAGGGTTATGGGTAGAGGAGAGTGAGGCTAGTGTTAGGCACTATGTCTGCTTGGTGTCAGAAATTGTGCTTGGAGCTACATCTATAGAGTCCCACTTCAGATTTCCAACAGCAGCCTAGACAGGACAGCTCCACACAAGAGCAGTCAAGATGGGGCAGTTACCTGCAAACACCTTCTCATGTGACTATGTGGCAGAGATGGGAACTCAGCCCACCTCCAAGACTCTGTACTATTGATGACTCATAGTTCCTCCTGTCAAAGATCTAAATCGAAGTCCCAGCAGTAAGGTGGGCTGAAGGGGCTAAGAAGACCTGACAAAGAGAGCAAGATGATTCAGGACACCTGAAAACAGAAGAGCTGACTCTGGCAAGTTGTGCGGCTTGGGAGACTTTAAGTGTTGAGAGGCAGGAGAGCTGTGGGGCTCAGGGTTTCAAGCCCCAGAATGTTCCCTTTTTGTTTTTGAGTAAGAAGCCATGTGACTACTCATAGCCTGGGTTCCTCAACAATCAACTATGCATAACAATAAGATCTACTTTGGAGGATGTGGTAAGAAATAAGAGAAGGTACCCACAGATTTGGCACAATCTCTGGCTTATGTTAGACATTTCACACACATTGGCTGCCATCATTAAAAAGAACAGGCAAGAGGTAGCAGGTGTGGTTGCTAAGATGGCTAAGAGAAGAGAGAGAAGAGCAGTAAGATTTTACTAGATGGGAAGCCATGGTCCAAAGTGTACCTGAGGCCAGAGTGGAGGGGATGCTTATTCAAGATCCATTGACCTTGATGATGGGGCCCAGACCTGAACTTGAATCTCCTGTGCTTTGTTGTTGACTCTTTTCTAGACTCTCCCATGGAAATCTTTCTTTTGATTTCCTCACCTCCGAGCAAGTGATGACTCCTTATTAATGTCATTTTACGGAACATTTAAGAAAATGGTGTCTATAAATCAAGCCAAATTCATTCTTGGGAGAAAGAGAACAATGGCTGATTTTGCATTCATTTGGTAACAGAGTCTGAGTCACAAAACCTGTGGGAGATAGAAACAGGATTAATTAGGATAGTGCCTTTTCTGGCCTCCAAGTTTATGAGCTGTTTCTGTATCACACTCCTTCAGCCATTTCCTAGTTGAAATTAAGAGCTGTGACTTCAAATGGAACCTTGCTTCAGCCACTCGTACTTCTTTGCTTCAAGAAACTCTGTCTTTCTGGCTCGTTCATACAAGGCTGGTTATTAAAAACACCAAGGGACAAGAAAGCAGAGTCTCAGATATTTTATTTAGAAAAGCAAACTCATACACAGACAAACGAGGAGACAATTAGGTTTTGTTTGGGCTGAAGCCAGAGGGCTGTTTGTGTCATGTGAGTGGAAGTCCATAGAATTTAATAGGATTATTGTAGGGTGAGGGAGTCCATTTAGAAGGGGAAAAACAAGCAAGAAAAGAAAAGGAACAAAATATATTTATATACATTTTTTGTGGCTACAAAAATTTTTAAAATTAAAATAATTTAAAAAAATACAACGTAAGAGTAAAACCCAGTATGTGAAATCATGTCACTACTCAATAATGGCTGTATTGTTAACAGACTACCATTATCTCCAGCCCATGTCAGGCACTCTGTATATGTGTATTCATTTTGATCTTCACAGGGCTGCAGAGCGCATATTGTGATTTTTGCGTTGGTCCTTAAAGGTACCAATTAAGAGAGATTAATAAACTAAACAAAATTGGAAAAGTTTAAAATGATAGAGGTTGAATTTGAGCTCTCTGTGAGTCTTTTCTTCTCATTTCTTCCTCTTATGAAGCTCCCTGGGAGCTCAGTTAGGACCCATACATAGCTGATAGATAAGCGCAGATATTGCCAGTCTAGGCAACTGAGCAGCGCAAAAGACCTCAGTTGCAGTCCCATTAGTTCAGGCCCTAAAATTAAACACATCTACAGGACAGTGGGACATTGCTCACTGATGGAATTGGTTTGCTGTTGCCTCAAAAGAATTAGTGCCTTCTGATGCATGGCTTCCCTCAGGCAGCATCTACAGGGTTGTATTTCTATTCCTTTTCTCTGCTCCAGATACTCAATGAAAGCTGACCTCACTATGGACATGCTGATCTATTGATGGGCTTGATTGATTGATTAATTGATATACTTCTGGCTCTTTGTTGTGGAGTTCCCAACTCTAGTTGGGAATTGATTTTAATCTTCACAGGTTAAAAACAAAAGCTATCAAATCTTTACAGGACATGGTGATGAGACACAATCTTATTAAAGAGAAACTGACAATTTATCATCTCCCAACAGCTCAAAGCCCATTTTTTTTGGCTTATTCTTGCCAGGATCTCAGTGTCTTGTTCAATATCTAATTTATTTGAAGTTTTATTGAGGGAGGAACATCTTCTACAATTCTTGTCTCCAATTTTCTAAGAGGAGATAAGAAAAAAAAGGAAGAAAGAGAGAGAGAGAGAGACAGAATCAGAGAAAGAATCAGAAAGAAAAAGAGACTCACAGATTAGGTCTTGGTGGGCAAAAGCATTTGGTCTGTGTCAGAGGCTACACACCTGTTTTCTCTGAACCTTGTGCTGATTTTTTCCTGAATCTAATTTCTTGTGGTTCTATATATTTGTTTTCTTTTTTAAAGTCAGTACCAGGGATCTAACTCACGACTGTCTGCTTGCAAGGAAAACGCTTGTGCCATTGAGCTAAATCCCTAGCCTCTATATATTTGTTTTCTGACAAAGTATTCCTTTGTTTGTGCTATCAACTGGATTTTAAGGTTCTTACTTTTCCTGTGCTAAATACTGAAATATTGTTTAGCAAAATGTATTTATCACTTAATGTATTTCACAAGCAAACTAAATCAGCAGCATATATAAATTGGATCCTCCGGCCATCAGGATTGATCAGGAGTTTTTTGTGTACAGCATCTATTGCAGGAGAGCTAAGTGTCCAATCCACTCCCTATTTCCTGGTCACAGTGATTGGTTATTGGAAAAGTAGAGAACAAGGTCTAAGTATGGCTTACTAGAATCTTCCATGGGCTTGGCATGTGAACTCTGAGATAGATTATATACCTACCAAATTTGGTAATATGAGAGTATTGGAACAAACTGGCTTGTTCCCATATTTTCAGGCTCAGGGAGAGAGAGCATGTAAGAACTAAGAAAGAGAAGGCTGAGCTCATGGATAGCTAGACAGCAATGTCTGCAGTGAGGTGCCTTAGTTCTTTACTATGTGACTCAGTTAACTTCTTTTCTCTTCAATTGTGTTTTTTTTCACTTATCACTGTTATGGTCCATACCTTTTGTCAACTTGAGAAGTTGAGAAGTTTAAATAAGAGACTGAGTAGGAAGCCAAGGGTTCTTACTTTGTAAATATCCACTTTCTGTGCAAGAGGAAGGCATTTTGTGAGTGCTACTCCCACCCTGGAGGGAGCAAAGTAGCCTGTATATAATATAAGGGAGCAAAAGAGGCTTGCTCCCCACTTTTTGCTCTGGCTATTTTTACTGGCTGCTGCCTTGAAGTATTGCCCAGGTATCATACCACACTGTCTTGGAGCCAGCTGATTATGGACTGAAACTTCCACAAGCAGTGAGCTAAATAAGCCTTTCCTTTCTTCATTTTTGGTTTTTGATATTTTGTCCTAGCAATTAGAGAAAAATAACCAAGACTGGAATTTGGTTCAGAGGAATGAGTTCAATGCTGTGACTATACCTGACCATATGGTTCAAGATCCTTTGGGACTGGCTTGTGGGAAGGGTTTGGAAATGTTGGGAGATGTCAGCTGAAAGAGTAGCCCCAAAACAGTTTAGGCTATTCTGTATGAGCAATCTCCCAGTAGGATAGTTTTAAACACTATGAGTTTGGTCAGGAAGGAAGCTCCAATAAAGCTGTGGGCTGCAAAGATAGAGCTGAAGAAATGTTGATTTTTGAAAAGCAACAGGAGAATAAAAAAGATCGTCTGAAGGTATCACAAAAACTAGCAAGTCTCGAACCTTTGCAGTCTCATATTTACAAAAGTGAAAGACTTTACTTTGAGGCAAAAGCTGCAGAGCACCATGTTCCAGAATGTTGGTGATCACACCATATTCCAGAATGGTGGAAGCATAGAGAATTTGTTTCTCACAATCAGGTTCAGAGTGCCTAGTGATCCAGGCATTCAGCCCCTACCACCAAGAGAGAGGAAAGCCTGGCTACTGCTCCAACTGGCAGCAGAGCTTGGCACCATCCATGTGGTGCTGGTTTTGGGTGTGTTATGGTTTTTATCTAGATGACCCCCAAAGCCTCATGCAGTCATGGAAGCAGCTGAATGTAGCATTTGTGATTGGTTCACTGTCTAGCTCTGGGATTGATGGTGTGAGTGCTGCACTCACTCAGGGGAGCCAGCATACTATAGAAGAAGTGTGGGAAGAAGGTGCGCTTTTTCCTGTCATTGCCCTTTCACTCTTGTTACTTGCAGCCGTCATGAATGGCTGCCCCTCAGCCATGCCACCCTGCCTTGGAGCCAGCTGAGAATGGACTGAAACCTCCAGAAAACTGTAAGAAATAAACCTTTCCTTCCTTCATGGTGAGCACCAGGTATTTTGTCTCAACAATCAAAGAAAAATAACCAAGACACAGTACATACAGAATACAAGAGTTCTGAGGCTAAAAAGGTTTCCACTCTAGTTTGAGTGCCTGGGAAGCCAGGCAGTGTGTCTCTGAGAGGGAAGTATGTGAAAGTATGAGTGTGAAGCCAAAGATTCAGGGGAGGACCCAGAAGTTTGGAAAAGAAAGGGACATGGATCATCCAAGGAAAGGTGCAAGGAGAGAGCAAAGTGGACCTAAGAGAGAAGCTGTGGAAACTACAACCACCAGAAGTGCCAAGGGAGTGGAGTCACACAAATCATTTGGCACTCACACAGATTGCTTCAGGTGCTGAATGTGCAACTGCAGGACTTTGCCATGCTGGATTTTGGACTTGCTTTGGTCCCATTTGTAACTTTTGGCATGGAGATGTTTATCTCGTGCCATTGCATGTTGGAAATGTTTAAATTTGTTTTCACTTGTTCAGGGGCTTGGAGGTAAGATTTGCCTTACATCTTGGAGGAGATTTGAACTTGGAAGTTTCAGCAATGCTGAAACTCTTAGGACTTTGTTAACTCTTGCAGATAGACTAAATGCCTTTTGCATAATGGGATGTGTATGAGTCTTTGCGGGTACAGGGCAAATGTTATGATTCTAATGTAATATAATATTGAAAGACTTAATGGTGGTTCCTTGAGGATTGTTAAACCTGTGTTATAATGTTCAAGTTGTGAAATGATAAGAATAAGCTTGCGTTTGTGTTTGGAGACCTGTATAAATATATGTGTCTTCTTGCCAAGTTGACAAGGGTGAATTGCTGTGGTTGATACACTGTGTTAGTTTGAGAAATTTAGAAGTTTAACTAAGAAACTCAGCAGGGAGCCAGGGTTCTTATTTGATAAATATCCTCCTCTTGAGCAAGAGGAGGGCAAGGAGATTTTGTGAGTGTTACATCCCTGAAACAATGGTGGCCTCTGTACAATATAAGGGAGAAAAAGAGGCTTGCTATTCCCCTGCTTTTGCTCTGGCTGTTGACTTGAATCATTGCCCTCGTGCTGGCCACCCTGCCTTGGAGCCAGATGATTATGGGCTGAAATCGCTATAAGCAGTGAGCTAAATAAACCTTTTCTTTCTTCATTTTGGCTTTCGGATATTTTTTCCCATCAATGAGAGAAAATAACCTAGACAATCATCAAGAGCTTACACTAAAACAGGTAGCTTCATTTTCTCCATTTATACTGAGACTCAGAGAGGTTAGACTTGAGGATCACACAAGGAGTAATCAACACAGCAGGTCAGAGCCAGTATCCATCCCTTCCTTCAGCCACTGAATGCAGGGTGAGTTGGAAATTTTCTGTTTTCCCATTATTCCCTTGAGTTGCTTCATAATCATGCTTCCTTGTTTTCTAATTATAAAATTAATGCTTGCACATTGTAGATGTTATAGTGAAGCATAAAGAAGGCAATAAATTTACTCACAATCTTGCCACCTAGAGGAAACCAGTATAAAATAGTGTGTTCTTTTCTCTCCAGGCATAAGAAATCAAAAATTTCAATGAATTCCTCTAGTGTCTTAATGAATAGATAAAATTGGCTCAAATGACTATTTGATAATTTCTGTACATTCCTATGTGATAAAATTAAGGGCAAATTCTGTCCTATCACAGAAGTGTGATCTTGGTCAAATTATTTAATACCTTGAGTCCTTTTTTGATCTGTCTTTTGGAGTTAATAATTGTTTAGCTAGCAATGTTATATGATAACCAAATGAAAAAATTTACAAATACTTCACAAAGTATCAAGTGTGGTATGAATAAGTATAATAAAAGTAATTGTAATACAAATTGTAATATAAATAATTTGTAAATACAAACTTTTTCCTTTTATTTCTAGTCTCACAAATGCTTCATTAAAATTTTTATAAGTGGAATTCTGGGATATAGAATAGAAAGATTAATTCAGAGCTACTAGTTTATGAGGTATCTTCAGATAAACTCTAGGTTCCTAGGACACAGAGGAGGTATTCAAAGACTTTGATCTGTAGTTAGATACTTTTTAAGTGCTTTAACCTAAGAAAATGGCCAAGGAAACTCTACAGGCCTAGAAATGGAGCAGGATAGGCTAAGTGGTGATAAAAATTCCAATATAGTTTTGTGCCTACTAAATTTACGGGAACTCCACCCAGGACCTAACTTACTAAAGATCAAACTGAAAAAGGTGAGGTTCTCGTTTCTTTGGCCATTACTGTGTGTAATCAAGTCCTTCTCATGTGACCCAACCTCGTTTTTCTATACATCTAGAAGGGTTAGGACAAAGTCAAGAACTAAGACTACCACCTCTACACACAAAGACCCTTACTGAGCTCTGTGTGTTGAGCCACTGTGTGTTGAGGACTCACTCTACACCAGGCTTTTTGCTGGGGACAAAGTGATATGCAAAACCGATTATAACTCTATTCTGTGTCTGTTCTCTGCGGCAGTTATAATTGGTTTTAAGAAGGCAGAGAGAGCCCAGGGCAAGGAAGTCCTTGTGGGACCTGCCATGGACTTTGTTCCTGATTCTAAGAGCCATGGGAGACAGTAGAGCGTGGGATCTGCTCTCTTGAGAGTTGATGGTAGATTATTCTAGTGAAAGTGTGTGGATGGAGAAAATATGTGCATCCAGGAGTTAAGTGGTGCAAATGGGAAGGGGCTCAAGAGATGGCAAGAGAAAAGAGAAAAAAAAAGTATTTTATGTATATGTACTATTTCCCCCTTAAGAATAAGGTGATTATGTACTGCAAGCATATACCAATAAAAATAAAAATAAAAATTGAAAAAAGAAACATAAAGAAGGCTCAATAGTGTATTTGTTACAGTAGTATGTCTTAGTTTCCTATTACTGCTGTGAGGAATTATTACAAATTTATGGTTTAAAATGGTACAAATGTTTCCTCTTTCATTTCTTGTAGCTGGAAGTCAGGTTTGAGCCTTATAGGATTAAAATTCTGCATGTTGGCAGGGCTGGTTCTGTATGAAATTACTGGGGAGAGGATCCATTTCTGATCTCTTCCAGTTCCTGGTGGCTGTGAACCTTCCTCAGCAATTGGCATTCTATTCTCTGCTTCTTCAGTCACGTGCCTTTCCTATTTATTGTCCTCAAATCTTCCACTGCCTCCTCTTATAAGGAAACTTGTGGTTACATTCAGGCACCACCCTAATGGTCTTGATAATCTTATGATTCTTTTTTTTTTTTTTTTTTGTCTTTTTTATTGGTACCAGGGATCGAACTCACGACCACATACTTACAAGGCAGGCGTATACGCTGCTGAGCTAAATCCCCAGCCCCAATCTTATGATTCTTAATTTAATCATATCTTTAATATCTCTTACACTAAAAACTTAACATTCACAGGTTCCCAATATTAACACCTGGACATCTTTGAGTACCACTATCCAAGCACTTATATAAGGAAAGTGGGAAAGGGAACAGAGATTTTATCTGGGACTCTGGCTTGCATATTGGATGGATGGTGTTAAGATGAAATTGTGGGTTACATGATGAACTTAGTTTTGATAATGCTGACCTTTAAGTGTCTTTGAGACATCCAAAAGTCTTTGGCAGTACCACGAGGCAATTTGGGAATATAGATCTGGAGTCCAAAGGAAAGCTCAGGACAAGAGATAAAGCCTTGGTAATTTCCACGGTAGAGTACAAATAATTCTGTATCTTGCATGAAATTGCCCTGGGGAAGAGTACAAAATAAGGAACAGGAATGTCCAAGACCAAGCCTTGAAGAATTTTCAGGGCAATGAAGAATGAGGGACAAATTTTAAGGGAAATCCAGAGAGACAATGGGAAAGTTAGGCAAGCTCTGGCTTAAGAGCCAGTGATGAGATGATTTCAGGAAGGGAGTGATCAACTTTGTCTAAACTGTCTGCAGTCTCATGTACGCTGAAAATTCCTGTGAAACTTACTGCATGAGTCTATGACACAGTGTTGGGAGCAGAAGTCAGGTTAGGTTGGAGCAGGCAAGGGATGGATGGACAGAGGGCAAGTACAGACATTGCTCTCTATTTGTGCATACTATTTTCTCTTTATATGTTATAAAACCACACTTACCTTTCACGCCACACTTTAAACATTAATTCCTCAGGGAAGTTTATCCTGACCTCATGAACTCTCTCTTTCACAAATTCTCCTAGCTTATTTCATTTTCCTGTGTATCCCTGAGAAAATGCTGTGGATATGCTTTTGTGTGTGACCATTTTGTGCCTGTCATTCTCTCCCTACTGCCCTTGTTCTTTGAACATAGGACCTGACTCAGTGTTTGTCATCAGAAGGCTGGCACATGGTAGGTACACAACTGACTTAACTGAATGAACCAATGATTGAATGACTGCTGTAGTTGTAAGGAGGGATGGTGGCAGCATTTTCAATTTCTAGACAGCATACTGTAATTGAAGTACATAATGTTGAACTCAAAGACCAGAGTTTTGCATACAGAGCCTTCTGTTTCTCAGTTATGCAGCTTTGGCAGAATCATTAGGTGATCCTTGGTGTTTTGGTTTTCACAACTGTATACTGGGATGAGTACATTTATCTAGGTGATGCCATCCACCTGACTAAATCTGATATTTTGCTTTCACAGAAATTCTGCCTTGCCAAGAGCTGACAGAGACACAAAGTAAATGATACATGTGAATTTTGCAGAAGCACCACTTTGGGAAAACAAAAATGGAGAGAGAGAGAGAGAGAGAGAGAGAGAGAGAGAGAGAGAGAGCACTGATACCTAATACACTCCATCCCTTGGATGTATTGGGCTTCATTTTGTCCTCAGTACATTGTGGCTGGGGCCCTGTAGCCATGTGCAGAATGATCTCCCAATTAGAGAAGCTGTCTTGGTAGAAGCGAGCACCTGCTGATGTCAATGAGGGCACAGCACGTCTAAGCAGAGAGTGGGGGCTAGAAGGACCTGATTCCCCTTCGTGGG